AGCCGGCGTCAGCCCCCACGTGGGAAGCCGACCCTCCCCCGCCCCTCGCGCCACCCCTCCGCGGGTCTAGCGCCCGCGCCCCGCGCCGGACCAGGCGAGCGTGACCCCCCAGGCAGGACCGGCTCCTGGAAGAGGCGGGGACTTGGATCCAGCGGCTTTAAGAGAGACCCCGGCGGAGTGGGGAGCGGCCCCTGCTGGAAGTCGGCCCGGCAGCTCCGTGCCGGCCCAGCAGAAAGCACTGGGCACCCATGAGTGCTCCCAGCCAGCTGGGTCCCGGGAGGAGAGGGTGGCAGGGAATCCCGGCCCGAATCGGGAGAAGCAGCCCCAGCGAGGGGTCGCATCTGGAGCAGTCCAGACCCGGGCCATCTCCCGGCGGTCGGGACGAGAGGGGTCCTGGCGAAAGACGGAGGCGGGGGTTAGGAGGGAACCCCAGGGACGAAATGGGCGGCACCCCCTGGGGAATGGGTGGGTCAAACGTCAGACCTCCGCTTGGGGAAGGAAGAGCCACGTGTCCTCCCAGCCTCTGAGCTGTCTGCGGGACACTGCTGGCCGGTGGTCTGGACCGCACCCCCTGAGACGGCGGTGGGGAGGGGTCCAGGAGGCGGAGGCAGAGCGCCACGGCAGAGCGAGGGAGCACTGACACCTGCTGGCCGCTCGTCGTCACGGCGGGGAAGCGGCCCGCTGACGCCGGCACCTCCTCCCGTTTCTCGGGTCCTCTGCATACGGCACCTTCTGCCTCGGGACAAGTTTGGGCCTAAGATCAGGAAAGGAGAGCCCAGACTTTACATTGAACCTTGTCATGTTGCAGAAATCTTCCTCAATCAGATAACTCTCGTGTATCCACCCCTGGCGGAAGCGGAGGCTTGTCTAACAAAGTCACATGGGGCGGGCTCAGCAGACACCCCAGGCCAGGTCTGGCATCCCCCCCTGGACCGGCACAACCCACCCTTCCAGCCGATCCGAGAGGAGGCTGGACTCTGCCCCTCTGGTTGCCTGGCTCTGGCCTGCTGAGAAGCATGATGTCTTTGTTGAGGCAGGAATGCTAGACTACACCCCACTCAGATGCACACACTGTCTTTCAGTAAGGGGAGGATGCTGGCCAAGGAAGAGGGAATATTCTCCGTGCTCTCTCTAATAAGAACAGCATGGAAGTGGGTGCGCAGCAAGGTTTTCCATGTGTGCTAGATGTCCTGGGATAGATTTCAGCTATCACTAGCCTGCACTGTGCTAGCGGCACTTTTCAGATGAGCAGCAAGCAATTTAAGGGTAAAGCCCAGGAGGATAGGAAATGTCAGCAGGACAGAAATTAGACCTCAAGAAAAGTAGTCTTATTTAAAGAACCACTAAGCCAAAATACCTTATGTAGTCACCTAAGCTGAAATTTCAAGGATGGAACAGACTGCCTCTCTGCACAGACAGCTCAGGTCTGGCTGGGGGCCAAGGACTAAATTAAAAGCCTTGAGCATCACCTTCAATCCCAGCTGAAGTCTACAGCCTCCACCAGTGATTCAGTTATTGATGCTGATGCTCTTCATACAGATAGTCTCAAAGTCTGTACTTTCCAAAGTATTTCACAGAAGTCTCATTTGACTTCAGGACCTTTATCTCCCAATCTTCACCTAGTGGGATGACTTCCCCTTCTAGTCTTGGTTCTGAGGAGCCTTGCTAATCCCCCTTTCTGAAGAATCTCAAGAAAGCTGAGAAGACAGAGTTTCCTCCCTCTGTTACATCAGTCATTTCCCAGCTTCTGCTGAAGTCTTTGATCAGAGTCTCTTGGCAGGTAGCAGGGAAGTTGCCAGAAGGCTCAGTTGGAAATGTGACTACACCCAATTTTGCATAGCACCCAGAAGTCCCAAACTTCAAATATGAATGCTAAGAGAGGCAAAAACCAAAGCCCATGGCAATCTAGGTTGTGCTGTGCTGTTCCAGAACTTGAGTGCTAAGTCTTCATGTCTCAGCTCCACCCCACCTTCTAACACACTGCTCTCCTTCCTGTCTAATTCCAGAAACAAAGGGAAAACACAAACAAGTCTACATTGCTCTTCTTTCTTGAAATGTCTGCTGCCAGCCTGTGTATGACACCTCTTGTCACATTTTCTAATTGCTTCCCCAACAGCCAGTTAGTTTCTTACTCCCAGATTTGGAGCCTTTTTTCCTAAAATGGAAATAGATCTTTCAAGGAGCTAAGAACCCTGAGGCCAGTGCACAATGATTATTAATAATAACAATCACTACCTTTTGTTAAGTATCATAAAGTATGCATCATTCGTAGGCTCTATACAGAGCCCCCTTATATAGAGAGTTCTTCCTCCTGTCATATGTTTCTTTTTACCACAGGTTCTGCCTCCTCAGCTTGTCACATAGAGTCAGTATCTCTGAGGTTTGAAAAGCTACATGAACACCATTAATTTTTGCTAAATGGCATGTTATGCTAGCTGAGTGAGACCGCTGAGCAGAGATACATCCATGAAGACAATAATTCTCAACTAAGCGTGTATATCAGCATTGCCTGGGAAGATAAAATACACTTACCAACATCCTATCAGGGAATTTACAATTCATCAAGTCCAAGGTGGGATGCAGCATGCATATTTTAACAGAGCTCCTTGGGGGATGCTGATGTGCATACCCTGCTGAAGACTCACCACCCAAAGCAATAACTCTTGGTGAGGGGGCGTTAGGAGTGATGAGCTAGTGCCCTAGTGGGGCCAGGAGAGAGTGTCCAAATCGCCTGGGAAGCCAACCTGAGCTAGAAAGGATGGGCTCCAGATTGAGACTCGCTGCCCTGGGCCATTGGGGCTGATGGTACTGTGTCACAGCCCTCCAGGCATCTGGAGCAGAGTAGACAGTTGAGAGCCATCAAAAATTGAAGGTTAGCCTTGATGACCTGACGAGAAGTCACTCTGGGCACACGAATGGGAGTCCATAATTATGTCTATTATTTTTTCCATATTTTAAATCTGGCGATAATTCCTAGTATCAAATTGTAAGATCATTTCCTTACAGTTGTTTGTTACAAGCTATGAATAACTCAAAGGAAGACAAGCCTCCAACAAAGAAAGGTGCTACCTGGTTTTCATGATTATATACAAGCCAAAGCTCACTAAAAGTTTTCATATTCTCCTTTTATAAAATTTATTTTATTTTAAAGATGTGGAGTACAATACTGTTTATTAACACGTGCCTGGCACAATATTGAGCAGCTTATAAACTATATATTATATAATTCTCAAAACAATCTTATAACATAGATATTATCTATCTTCATAGATGCGGAAAACAAGGTGAGATGCTAAGTAAACTTCCCAGCTAATAAGTGGCAGGGACAGAGACCCATTTTTCTGATTGTAAGCCTGACAAGCTTTCTAGCTCCCTTACTGTGAATCTCTGCCCTCTACAGCACTGCCAAAGGAGAACCTGAAAGAGGTCCATCAGAAACAGGAGTATTGACAAGTTGGCAAATCCTCCCTCTCTCTCTGTCCTCCCAGGCTGTTGGTGGCAATAGAGCAGGACAGTGTGGGGCAAGATGTATTCCTTCCTTCCACAGCTGATGCCTACTCTTGGAGGCAGCACCAGGCACGCTTTATACAAGACTGCACAACCCAGCAGGCTGATGGAGAGCAGGCCCTACACTGACTGGTTAGGCACCCCTGGATTGCTGACCTCTCCTTGGTAGAAACAACCTCTCCTTCTCACATTTTACTATAGTTTAGACATACTTTTATTATTCTAGCTCACCTGTTCATTTGTACAATAGTCTGCAAAAGGAAAGGACTTTTTCATCTTTGCATTCTCAGAGTACATCTAAAATAGGCTTTTAAAAATCGTATTTCTGAAACCTACCCCTTAGAGATTCTGATCCCGTAGGATGAGGGTGGGGCCTGAGCACTTGGATGTCTAACAACTACCTGAGTAATTTAATCAATACTAAAATGTAAGTCACACTAGTGTGGGTACTTGATAAATCTTTGTGTGATGAATTAATTAATGGCTTCTACTTAAACAACGAGGCTACCAAAGAGGTAGAAGGCCCAGAAGTCAGTGACTAAGATGGCTAGCATTTCTTTCCAAAATCAGGATTCCGTTGAGGTTCTTTTTTCTTTTTCTTCTTCTTTTTTCTTTCTTTCTTTTTTTTTTTTTTTTTTTTTTTTGAGAAAGCAGGATTTATTGAGAGGACAGAAAAGCTTCCACAGTGGAAGGGGAGAGGATAGTTGAGGTTCTTAACTAGTTCATGGATAAAGGTAGAGAATTAGCTCATTCTATCTCTCTCTTTTTTTTT